CGCTTGAAATTGCTGCAAATTATTAATTAAATTTATTTTCGAGCGGAGAATCAATGGGAAATTTTTTCGCTTACAATTTTTAGCTTAAGTCAATTGAAACAAAACTTTAAATAATATTCACATTTAATATGCTTATTGAGCTTGCACAATTTGTTTTAAATCAGAGCAACCGGCTTTGGATGTCCGCTGCTGTATTCACTTTACTACTCTATAAGAACTGTCGATTAACACTCAGCGGAAGTAGTTAAATGAAATAAAGTAATAAATAAGCAGGAGCTACGAGTACCTGCTTAACATGATAAGGTATATAGAGCACAAGAAAATTTACATCTCTCCAACTGCTGCTCTTAAACCATGTTAAACTGAGCGCTGAGCCGAAGATATATTTTTTATATTTAATATAATTTAATTGAAGAAACTAATGGAAGATAAGGCTATAGCAAAATTTGAAGATACTCTGAGCTGTTTTGCCTTTACTACATTTTAAGATAAGGTAACAAAATAAATCTAGTTAAGCTAGTTCAAATGTATTTGGTTTTTCTTAATGAAAATAATGTTGTTAAAGGTCAGCAGCACTAAAAAATCAGATTTAATTTATAATTTTATATTAACTTAAAAACTATTTCAGGTTTCAAAGTTGTGAGCTCTATGAACTTAAACAAGTATCTTAAATATTATTAATAAATATATATTTTTGAACATAGTTTAACTTAGCACTAAATTTAAATAAATTTCTGAAGCGTTATAAAAATATTTAATACTCAATTAAAATATTAATAAATATAAATATTTAAATGTCAGCTAACTAATAAAAATAGATAGAAAAACAAACTTCGAAATTTCAAAAGATCTAAACAAAACATTCTCCTTATCTTAAAGTAAACTTCAGTAAATTTGTTTAATAATCGCATTATTTTTTTTTTTTGCCTTTTTATCAACAAATCAAGACTTACTGCGCACTTAAAATATACAAAAATATTTTAATTATTTATTTATTTATTTGCTGATTTTATTAAACAATTAATAACACATAAAAAAAATATTATATTAATTCATTTCATACCTAATATTATAAACAGGTCTATTATAAGGTAACTATACTAAATAAAAATGATCGAATAATACCTTGGCCGAGTCTCAAAAACAGTTGATAAAGTCTCCTTATTCCAGCTACTCTCAAGATCTATCATAACATTGCTGTTCTATGCCCCCCTTCCCAAAAGCGCGACAATATATAACTAATAATATGTTCAATATTCCTGGTGTAAGGCAAGATTTAAGATTTATGACAGCCCGCACAACTTGTATTTGCATTTGCATTGGCCATATATGGATTTTATGGCCTGGATTTATGGATACAATAAATCGAAGCACTCGTTTATGTTTATGAGACTGTGTGTGTGTCGCAGGTGTGCCCAAGATGGAAGATGGGAGATGGCAGAGAAGTTTTTCGAGATACAAATCGGGCTTTATGGCTGCGTCTATAACCTCTAAGTGGAGAACTAACGGGCGAGCGATATGACAAGCGTTTTCACTTTTATTGCCAACATTTAACAGGCCATGACACCGAAGCCCAACTTTTTCAACAGCAATTTGCTTTATGGCTCGGAAACGGAGCCGCAGCGCTGCAGCCACTTGTCAAAACATGAACACAGATACAAGATACAAAACTGCAACAGTCAGGCAGAAGCGAGCGTCGAGTTAGAACTCGCTTCGCGTAGCCAACCGGGCCAACATTTTCACACCCAGTCAGCGACAATTTGTCTGTGACAGCGAGCGTTGCCTGCGCAAGTGTTTAGCCTGGTTGGCCCTCTAACTGACTCCTTCTCCTTCTCCTATCTCTCTCTCTCTCTCTTTCTCTATTGCTCCTTCTCTCTTGGCCATCGCTTCAGCGATTTTGTCAACATTATTCAAGCATAAACAGCCCAGAACTGAGCGCAGCGCAGCTCAGCTGACGAACCGGCAAAACGTGAGGCCAGCAAGCGAATCCAATGGGATACCAAAACGTAACGCCAATGCCTCGGAACAAGCATTTAAATGTCGTTAGGTTTGTACAAATCAAGATAAATGGCCACGGAGCATGTGATGCACTCACCGAGTGGGTGGAGTGCCAGTGGTTCAACTGGACCTGTCTGTTTGCATAGGACAATGCAAGCAGAAGCTGGAAAGAAAAAAAGATTGAAAATTTAAAATTGATTTAAGCTGAAACTTTAAAGTAGCACAGATCTAGTAAGTAATATACCTAGCTGCGAATATTTTTTAAGTAAGGATCCATTTATAATTATAAAATATCTAACAGCATATATCCATAGGCATCCAGAGGTCTCTTGAGCAGATAGTTATAATGGAATACTCTGTCCTCTATATGAAGATAAAAGAACTTGGAAAAATCATAAATTTAGTTAAATTAAAATATATTCAATTATATTATATCATAAAATATATATATAGAATATTTATAGAATATTTATAGAATATTTTCTTCCATCTGAATAATATTTTTATAGAAATTTCTTGCATGCGAAACAATCTCCTTGCTCACATACAAGTCAAAGTTTCGATTGATAACTGCGCTAGTTGAAACACTGATTAGCAGACGTCAAAATCTACTTAGGGGTGAGTGACGGAGGCTGTATTCAAGCGAGCTACAAATATGCACGTCACTCACTTCATAAACGTCACATATTTGTGTGGGAGAGCAAGCTCCACTCATACGCCTTTTGGCAAGCCGCAAACAAAGTTTATAGCTAAACAATTTCCGGCCGTGCGTTTTACATTATTAGCATATTGACGAGAGCCAGGCCCCCAAAAAGTGTCTAGTCATAAAACTTTTAGCAGGGCTTAGAATCATTTTGTTGATGGCAAACTTTCGACTTTAACTTTGCCTTGACGCAAGTCAGAGCACATTATCTTCGCCCGAGCTCCTTACAGACAGACATCAGGCCAGAGACGTCAGGGGATTGATCTAAGCGAGCTACTGTTAGCAGTTATGTATATGTAAAGTGAAATGAAGTCACAGCTGAGCAAACACACTCTGCCAGTGGCTTTAAAAAGCCAAACAAAATTTGACTTCATTTGGCCATAACTAAAAAAATAATCATGGGCCTTTGAACCAGTTCAATATAGCTCGTATTATATATGTTTTCAAAATTTTTTTTAACATGCATGTTAAATTTTGACATCAGCTACCAATTTTTATCACTTACGCTAACTGGAATATAATTATTATTATATATGTTATATATATATATATTATATATTATTATTTATTTTTTATACTATTATATGTTAATATTTATGTTCAATTTTACAGCGAAGACAAGCAAGTTGATGGCTCCATCTACTTTATGAGCACAAAAGTTTTTAAGCGGACTTCCGATGATTGAACCATATTTCTAACATCCATGTTAATTTTTAACATGATGATAATTACGTCCTCTTAAGAAATTTCTTGTGTATTTATCAGCTCGAGTTGTACATATTCATTACTTTATCTTTAGTGACGTTAGATATTTAACATTAGCTTTTAACATGCATGTCAATTTTTAACATGAGCTAGAAAATTTCTGTCTTTTAGTCGCTTCTTTCTCTGTCTCTGCAAATTTAAAGGCTATTTTTTTAATTACATGCATGTTAAATTTTAACATGAGAAACTTTTGCCTCTCCACAGTTAGATCAATCTCTAGTCATTCTTGCAGTTCCCTCGATTCTATGCGCTGCACATCAGTTCACATCAAACGCTGCTGCTGCCTCATTTGCAGCATAAAACGCACAATTTGCCAAGCATTTAGTCAGAACAAACAAATCCAGCGGCCTGGCCCTTCTTTATGGCGGAAGCGAAGGCAAACATAATCAGCAGCGGACAGACAAGAGACACTCGAAAGTTCAACTGCATTTGGCTAGGCACATGGCCAAGAGCAAAAGCGTAAAAGAACAAATATAATTTCAATTAGCACAATTATTAATAGGTATAGCAATTCATATCGGCATCTGCTGCATTCGCAGCAAATGCAAACTAAATGAGGAAATTAGATTAATTAGTGGCCAGCCCCAGATGCATGAAAACAAAAGGAAATTCAATTTATTTTTCAGTATAATTAGCCAGAAGCTTGTGCCAGAAATCTTATTCGATTGAATTCAAGGAAAGCTATAGCAGATTAGAGTTAAGTAAAAAAAAATCTAATATAATAATTATAATATATATTTAATTAAGTGCACAATATTTTTGATAAGGAATTTCGAACAATACATTTTAGAAATTCGTATTGTGAGAAGCATAATGAATGGGCGACTAGGAAATGCCCTCAACTTAACTTAAGCAATATCTATTATTTATTTGAATGAAGGCAATAAAAAGGTAGTTAATATTATTTTTAAGAGATCTGCAAATTGATCATAAGACAATACCGATATCAATTCAAATAGATTTTACTCGAAAAGCTATCAATTACTGAAAATAATGTTTATATCGGTTTGATTGCGGAGCATCTAAAAGTCGATATTGATGCTAATCGATTTTATGCAAAAAGTTATCGATTTGACAATAATTTTGATTCGCGTATGATATCGCATTATCAAAATATCGATATCGATGCTTATCGATTACTTATCGATTAGCAGGAGATTATCGATTGTTAAAATTCCTTATCTTAGTGTGCTATAGCAGCATCTGAATATCTATATCGATTATGATCTATTTTACACAACAGTGTATCGATTTAAATTAGTGTTGATGTGTGTGATATAGGAACGTCTAAAAATCGATATTGCTATCGATTTCATGCAAAACCCTATCGATTAGTTTGACATTGTTGACCAATTAATATACCCCTTCTTTGCAAGCTCATTGAGTTGAGGAAACACAAAAAATGTACGATAAGCAGCATTTTATTATATGCTTATATGGAAAGTGCGATAGGACTCCGGCTGTTTGCTCTATTAATTCAATCGCAATTACAGCGACTGCAATAGCATAATTTCTTCAATTGTTGCGAGTGTCAAGCGAGAGACGCTTCGAAGCGCTATTAAAATGGCAAAATCTTTTGCTGTGTTTCTTGTGCTGTTTTTAATATTGCGATCGCAAACAGTCAACACCAAGACTTTGGAGGCATTTTTAAAAGATCTGGAAACGTATGAAAGATCAATTAAGTCAAACGAAGAAGAGCTCAACAAATTGGCAATCGAATTGAATGCAGGGATGGAGAGTATGGATTGCACTGAAACAGACAAAGCAATGGACAGTCGATTATTAGAAATGAAAAATCAGCTAGCTAACTCTGAGTACAGATGGATGAATCATATACTTGAAATCGAAAATAAACACAAGCAGCAAATGGCGACATACAAAACTGTATTGGATAACAAGAATGTTGCAATAGAAACCTTCACGAAGGGGCTAAGTAAGACGGAATATCATGTTAAATATATACACAACTCACTTCATCTTTCTCTTTCTCTCTCTCTCTCTCTAGTTGATCTAAAAAGCAAACTGCAAAGTCAATTAAGTATTAATGCAGATCAATTGAATAAAATTCAAGTTAAAAATAACGAAATTTATCAATTGAAAAAACAATTAGATGAAATGAACGCCCTGAAAAGGCAGTCAACCATCAATCGACAGCAACTTAGCGATTGCCAAAATAAAATATTTGCTATTGATAAATTGAAGGAACAAGTACCAAAAGTGGAGTCCCAGCTGAAGAGCAGTACTCCGAAAGCTCTGGCGAGCAGCTGCTCGTCCGCAAATGGAATACAATTAATACAGGTTGAAGGAGCGAAGGCTTTTCACGTACTTTGTAAACAATCTATTAACGGATCCAGTTGGATAGTAATCCAGAAACGTAATCACTTAGGCGTTTCGTTTGAACGCAATTGGAATGAATACAAAACTGGATTTGGTCGCTATCAATCGGAATTTTTCTTTGGACTGGAAAAGATATTTTTTATCACATTCACCAAACAATACGAACTTTATATAGAGCTAACTGATTATGATAATTATATGTTCTATGCTTACTACGACTTTTTCCGAGTCGGCAGTAACGTCGACGGATATCGTTTATATCTCGGAAATTACAGAGGCAATGCAACCGATGGGATGGCTTCCAGCAGAAATCAGAAATTTACAACCACAAGAAATTTATGTGTGATCAAACCTTCTGGTGGCTGGTGGTTCCCCCCTTACAGCTGCAACGAAACGTAAATATATTACTATATATACATATATAAAAATATATAAATATGAAATTTCTCTGACAGCAACTTAAACAGAGGCACTTCGCCGGTTTGGTCAGTAAATGGTTCTCTTCGTAATATGAAAGCTGTGTCCATGATGATTCGACCTAAGCAGTCAAGGCACTAATATTTATATAGCATAAGAAACATATTTAAGAGATATATACATTATTTAAATAAACTACGAATGCTGCAAGAGTTTACTGGTTCAGTGCAATATCCATTTTTCTGTCAGTCCTTCCGACCATCTGACCATCATTTGGCTTTTGACTTTTGCAGCTGGCGACAATTTTGGGAATTCCTATATCTGGTATGGCAGTCGATGTCATCCGACCTTCCCATGTATTAAAACCTTTCATTAAAACAATCAAATGGGGAAGCTGACAAGCCATTAAACAATCTTGAAGCTTCTTATTAATAACAAGCCTGAGAATATATTTTAAGAATTAGTATAAGAGCTGAGATAAGAAATCGGTGCATCTTTTATATACTTTACTTAATACTATATAGTATAAAGTAAAGCTGATAAGCGAACGGCTTCAGCTGGCATCCAGCAGCTTTCAATGCTACTTATTAACTTTAGTGCAGTTTCATTGGGACTCAAGGGAAAAACGCTTCGAGGCGCTGACAAAATGGGAAAATATTTTCTTATTTTCACTGTTCAGTATTTAATTTTGACTAGCTGCAGGCGAAGTTTGCAATTCGAATCAGTCAACACGAAAACCGTAGAGCAGCTAATAAAAGAATTTGATGCGTATGAGGAATCGGTGCAAAAAGACGAACAAAATCTAAAAGATCTGGAAAGTGAATTGATACTGGAAATTGACAAATTGCAGTGCAATGAAGAGGCTACTACAGAGAAGCATCTAATGGAATTGGAAACTCAATTAACCAGCTGTGAGCAGAACTCAAAGAACCAAACAGTTCAAATCACAGAATGCAAACAGCAAATTAATAAGCTAGAATCAAAAAATAAAACTGAATTGTGTATGAAAAATATTCACATAGAAAGGGAACAAGGTAAGAAACAATATTAAATATTATATATAAATATATATACTATTATTTCAGATCAAACTCCATTAACAATTAATGCAGAACAACTGAAAGAAATCCAAGCTAAAAGTTTGGAAATTGCTCAATTGAAACAAGAAATCTTAGAGTTAAAGCAAAAAGAAAATCAGTCGATTGCTAAACTGGATTTCGAATATAAGCAACAAATTGAAGAAAAGTCCAAAGAAATAAGAGAGTTGAAAGCCCGCTTACAAAGTAAGTGAAACATCACATTCCAAATATATTACTACCTCTTAAACTTCCTCTCTCTCTATCTTAGAACGATGCCCAAGAAACAAGTCGTACTGCTGCTTGCCTGTTAATCATAAGAGCCTTAATCAAATGCCTGGCCCCAAAGTACTTTGTGATAAGAATATTCACGGACCCGAGTGGATTATCGTTTTGAAACGCGCATATACAGCTGTTCCCCTCAATCTCAATTGGAGCGCACTTCAAACTGGGTTTACTAAACACAATACAGAATATTTTATTGGAGTGGATAAACTAAACCTTATCACAAGCACCGCACAATACGAACTATATATACAGCTGACCAATTCGAATAATCAAGTGTCCTATGCTCACTACGACTACTTTCGAATCGGCAATGACACGAACGGATATCGTTTACATCTCGGAGCTTACACAGGCAATGCCACCGATGGCATGTCTGCGAGCATAGGTCAGAGATTTGTAATGCTTGATGTGAACAATCCTAAGTCAAACTATTACAAGAAACACACTTTCCTCGGTGGCTGGTGGTTTTCTCAAAGAGACAAAACTCAGACGTGAGTAAATATTTGACTCCTGCTTTATTTATATATTTATATATATATATATCCCGTTGGTTCTCTTGCAGTAACTTGTTTGCGGACTACTATCCCTTCTGGGGTCATAATGAACAATCTTTTTTCAAAACTGCCTACATGATGATACGCCGCAAGTAGAAAGGACAGTAAAAGTATCTGAATACCTTTGAAGTAATTATGTATATAATTTAAATAAAAGAAAACTCGTCGGGAGTATCCGACTACGATACGCATAGCTTTTTGATTTTTAAAATTATATTTTCAGCTTCTGTTGCTTAAGAAAATAAAACCAATTTTCTATGATCGATTTCATATCGATAAATATCGGAAAATGTGTAAGTAGCCCAATAAGACAGCTTGACTTTGCTCTTCGTCTCATATACCCTATTGCATTATAAATTAACAGAGTATACATATAAATAGTTTCCATTTGAGAGAGCTGTCTCCACAATGATAACTTGGCATGGTTGTCCAGCCAACGTTTTATCCTCTTAGACACACTCGAGTAGCGACAAAGACAATGCTTGGCTATTATTGCAATCGATGGGAAATTAATTAATATAATCTCTTTGCTCGCCGTTATGTATACCAATACATACATATATAGAGAGATATAGACTAATGCTATGTCTGCATTGACTGCCAATTTCATGCCCGCTGCACATTGGAAACCGCCAATATTTAGCTTAAGCCAGCTGCAATTAAAGGCCAATAAATTAGCGGAAAACGGCGCAACTGGGAAAAAGTTGAGAGTGGGAACTTAAGCTGCCTTAGCGGCTTCCATTTTATAGCTATAAAGAAGTCACATACATAAATAACCAGGAGTTGCTTAAGTTCAGGACATAATTAACTGGTATATTAAGAAATCAAAGAACATATTCATAAATGTAGATATCTAAATACCCTGTATACGAATTTTATGAAGTATTGATAGATCTTTAGCTACAATAGTCGAGTTGGAGTGATCATCTAGAAATTTTTTAACAAATCCCTTGCTCATGTCCATGCCCATGCCCAAGCCCAGAAAGATTAAAATAGTTTCTCTGTCCTGGTTCATGGTATCTACTAGCTTGGCACTCCCTACTAGAGAAATCTTAATAGCTTAGTTTTCATATTGGAGTAAGTTATTATTGATTTAAAAAATTCTGAAAATAATTTTACTTTCCAAGAATACAAACTGCAAAACAAAAATCTTCATGCGGATCGAATACGCCTTCAAACATTCCAACAAGTCCAATATACCCCGCCGGCACAACCACTGATTACAGGGTAGACAAAATATATTTAAACTAAAACCATGTGCCATTTCGGCCGTTAAAATGTGGAATACGCTTAGCCTAAGCCCAGAACAAGATTCATAGACCGCCCCCCCCCCACAACAAATCTAAGAGCCAGCCACTAAACAGCAATTGTGAACCGTTGCTCAGGTGACGAAATGCGTCTTGGCGGCACGTGATGTGCCTGGTAAGGGTCCGAAAATAAGGAAAAATCTAAAAACGAAAAAAGAAAAAAAATGGAAATTCCGCCCAGTGGGGGTTGTGTGGAAACATTAAGTGCGAGTGCCCAAATCCCAAGTGGAGGCCAGACAACAAAAGGCAAGGCTCACAGCAAATGCAATCAATACGCATAGACGGCACATAACAGGTATTACGCGCGTATGTATAATGCATGAAACGGGCCGCAGCGCATCGAGCCTGTCTATGATGGCAGCACGAGAGAAATCAGCGTCGAGCGTAATCTATTAAATTATCCTAATTTCATCACGCGCCAAATCCCTTTAGCCTCGCATGGAAAACAATAAAAATTTGCATAATATCGGTATAATATTTTAGCATTATGTGCATGACAAAAGGTGCCGAAAGTAAAGGTATTATGTGCCAGATATTTGCCAGCAAAAAGAGATTCCTTATCGATACCAGAGAACGAGAAAGGGATAGCCATATTTATATATATATGTATGATAATGGGCCATTAATGTGGCAACACATGTTGCCAAATACATTTGCAATGGAATACCCTTAATATATGTATATTGTGCAAGATTTTACACTGGAAAGCACTCGCCGGCCAGGTAATTTATTTCCACTGGTTTTCCTTTGCTCGCTTGAAAATCTCGACTAATTACTTGTCTAATTAGGGGATTTCTTTTTCCGTACTACAGCAAATTAACTGCAATTTGTGTGAAAAATCGCATTTTAAGCAGAGTCAAGCCAGGGAGAGCTGCGCATAGCTAAAAATGGATGCATTGGTAGTGCAGCTTAAGCCCTCAATAAGTCAAGTCGAGTACTTAAAGCAATTTAAGTAAAAAAATTAAAATCAAAGAACGTATTTTTTATGCATGCAAAAAAGCTAGCATAAAAATATATATTTTAAATAAAACTTAAATGGAACCTAAGGAATTTAATATTGCAAAATAGATTTCAAAGAATTTTTTTAAAATTTTTAAAATTGTTTAGACCTCAAAATAAACATAAACATAATATATAAATTTAAATAAAAATAATATTTTATATACGCAAAATAAAACTGAGTCAGAAGGAAATACAAAGCTTAAAGATTTCTTTAAACTATATAATTTTTGAAAAAATTAAAACAAAAAATTAGTTCCTTTGAAGAATTTAATTTTTTAATTTTAGTTTTTTAAAGAAAACGGCTTGAAGCGTACTTAGAAGAGAGAACACCAAAGAACTCTTACATGCTTAGTTTCTTTCTCATCTGACTATTCTTCAAGTCAATTCATAACAAGCAGGAAGTGTCCGACTAGAATATACCTTATACCCTACGCATAGTAGCCACTTCAATCAATTTACGCTTATTTACACAGTGAAATTTAAGTTTCGAAAATATGTAGAATTCCACTGAAGCTAAAAAAATTATATTTGAAAATTAATTAAATTGAAAAGGAATAAATCTAATTATACACACAATGCTTATACAAAAGAAAGATTTTTTGCATATATAATTATTTAAAATTAAATTGAAAAAGACCCAAACATATGCTAAAGCTTTTTATAGCAGAACATTAAGTTCAGTTTCATCACTTTTAAAGCCGCACCATATCTGGACTGCATCAGCATTTATCACAAACATTGACTAGCCGAATTGGCAGCACTTAGTTATGCATATTATTTTTGGCTGGCTATAAAAATCAGATGCATAAATCTAAAAGCTTATTTGTGTCCAAAGACTTGGCACTCGCTTGGCAATCAGGCATAATTTATCATATCTAACTATAAGTAGCTTCGGGCTCATTTGCTCATTTGCCAAACAGCGTGCAATGAACTTACCAGCAAAAAAAGCAACTTATGAAGCCACAAAAATGGAATAAATAAACCATAGTAAGCCAAAAATAAATTGCCAATAGTGCTGCGTATAATTTAGCCAGCGTAGTTGTAGTCAAATGCGTTGCATATGTGAGCCACTGCGGTTGAGCTTTGATGATTCGATTGGGTGGCAGGACGCGCCGCAGGACATCGGTGCGTAAGAGAGCGTAAAATGAAAGGAAATTGAAATGCGGACAAATTGAATTGGACAAGGACGAACAGCAGAAGCTCAATTCGAACTCCCCCTGGCAGCAGCAGCTGATTTTCTATGCTTCGTTTAACAACGAACCGGAAAACGAAATGGAAACGGGACGAAACGCTCCAAAGTATACAATAGCTTTCACTTGTCGAACTTTTACTTGAATAACACACAGCAGAGAGCAGACGCAGTGGAGACAGTAGACGTAGTATACCCGGTAGAGACAGTAGACACAGTAGCCGCAGTAGACACACTAGACACAGTAGATACAGTAGATACAGTAGACAAAGTAGATGCAGTAGATACAGTAGATACAGTAGACACAGTAGACGCAGTAGACACAGTAGACACCATACAGAATTCAGCATTCTAGATTCAGCACACAAATACTTATATATTCAAAGCCAATGCCAAAGGACGTTGCTCCTAAAAGTATTTTGTTTTTCTGCTTTCCAACTTCGAGACTTTGCCAATGCATAATTAAAATCCATTAAGTGTAATTTTGCAACTCTTTCGATTACTTTTCGTAGAGCTTTCGTCAGCGCGGTCTGGGTGAACTTTTCTTAGTAAATCGAATTGAGAAGTCGCTGCAGAATATTTAAATAAGCAAGGAATTCATGAGCAACATAAACCATGTTAATATATATTTATATTTTTATATAATCGAAAAGCAGCTTTATTTCAAACAAATATTTGTTATACAAATATCTTGAGCACATCTTTGCTCTATCCTCTATTTAAGGGTTGATTCCTTTATTTTGAGCTCGTGAATTTTTAAATACATTAATTTTTCCGATTTCATTTGTTTTTTTTTTTCTTTTCAAGCCGAGGCATCAGTCGTTTTGGGCTGTCATGGTTCATAAATTTTGCAGCAGTCAAATTTGCTGGCCTCATGAATAGCAAAGTGCAAAATTCAATCAATTTGAGCCATTTACCCGTTCGAGTGTTTGAAACCTGGCCAAAATGGTCATTCACTCACAGTCCCCATCTCCCGCCTCGCTCTGTGTGCGGCTTGTGTTTTTGACATTGCCAGCAAAGGACAGCCATTGATATATTTGAAAAGTTCATCAATTGTAAGAGTTTTTCAATTAATACCCACACACACACTATTGGCTTTTGATATAGTAATGCATATTGAGCATTTGCATGATCCATGCTACAAAGTGCTCGGCTTTCATGGATGATGGCTTGTTAATATTGTAAGCTCCTGCGCTCAGCTCAAGGCTAGAAATACGCATTTAATTGAATTTTTTGCAGCGTTTTAAAATTGAAATTTAGGTTTTGGGGTATATGGAAATGCTGCTAGTGCTTGCAACCGAGAACAATTTTATGAAAGCTAAAATAAATATAGGAGCTCTCAAATAAATATGTAGTTAAAAAAAATCCTGTTTAAAATTTATTTTAAAAATTGAGCAACTTCTAAAACTTATTTCGTAAGAAACTAAAATAAAAATAATTTTTTTAAAAGCAAAAATAAATTATCGAATTCAAAAAATTTGAACATAGAAACAATATTATTAGCGAAGAGCTCAATAAAAAAATCTGTGAATATATATGTGCAGATATTAAGTCATAAAATTTGTGAAAATACCCGTAAAAATATTCAGTTAAATGTTATC